ATATTATATTTAAAAAGTAGCAGAATACCAAATGGCTAAAAATGGAGACAGCCTGAATAAAGAATGGTGTTTTCACAAAGTGTGACCTTTGGTTGAAAGGATCTCTTAGAAACATTGCTTTTCAACAGCTTCAAACGTAAACTCACATTTATATAGCCATCTCTTTAGCCCTTTAAAGAACTCTTTTCTGCATCTCGGTGATCTTGGAGCGATGTAAAGGACTGCACGAGCTGCTGGTTCTCGATTTCACTAGCTTAGAATCAAGCGCTATGACGAAATCTGGGGCAGATGAGTTCACCACTACTGAAATAATTCCTAATTAACCATGCATGTTGTATACAACAGAAACAGTATCATTAAAGGCCTTGCAACTCATACCTTGTCTTTCTTTGTTTAGACCCATCTGGTGTCTCTGAAGACAAATATATATATATTTGAAAAAAAAAAGATTTGACTCTCAGTCGTTTCTATATCCTCACCTGTACCCAAACAGCTGGCTGTTGCTGGAGAAAAATCCACACGCGTGCTGAGAGCTCTCACTTTAAATTCTAACCCAGAGATCGCACGTGGGCCCTCCAGTTGGCCTGGCCATCTACCTTGGTCACTTCTCTGCAATCCTTCTTGTGGTGTCCCCACTCTCCAAAATGACTACTTTACTTCTCTTTCTCTCTCCTCGGAGCCCAGCATACACGCCCGACCATTCACCTCCCACCCCTCTCTGCGCTCAGTAGGTGACCTGGCCTCAAAGAGCACTGAGAGAGAGGAACCAGCCTCACAGGAAATTCTCCCTCCTCACCACCTAACAGGGGCCACACCTTCCCCTGGCCATCCTCCCTTCCTCTGCTCCTGCCAACGACAGTGTCTCCTCATGCAATCTTCACCGCATCCCTCTCACTCCTCCAAGTTGGGCTGAGCGTTTCCTGCATCCTTGGTTTCTCCCTCTTTGCTGGATCACCCCCGTCATTGTACAAACAGCCCTGGTAACCTCCTGTCTTACAAAGAGCTCTTCACTCACGCTCCAACACCCTCCAACACCGACATCATTCTCTGCTCCCTTTCACGGCACGACTTTGGGGATGAGACATCTCTACTCACCAGCCCCAGTCCTCACCTCTCCCTCTCTCCTCAACCCTTCTTCACCTGGCTGCCAGCCTCACTCAGCTAAAACCGCTCCTCCATGACTCCGCCCAGGACTCCTGGGCCTCTAGCCATCAGCTCTTCTCTGTTCCTCTTACTGGATCTCTCAGCAGCACCTGACAAAGTGAACCACTTCCTGCTACAGAAAACTTTCTCTCCCTCAGCTTCTCCTCCCTTACATCCTGCTTCACAGATTGCTCCTTCTCTGTCCTTCTTGGCTGGCTCTCTCTCTGATATTTAATTTCTAACTGTAGGAGTGCCCCAGGGCTCAAGCCTATAACCATTTGACACACCACATTTTACTTACTCCTCTCTTCTTGCTAAAATATAAGTCTATTCCCACTTTGAAAGACTTTGGAATAATCTTAATCTCTCCCCAAGTTTGCAAGCACAGTACAAAGGCCTTTTGTTTTTTATGAACAGTTTGAGGGTATATTGCCAACATCGTGCCCAGTGGCCCTGAATCTTTCCGTGTGGTATTCCCACATAACCTCAAAGCACCATCCAACTCCAGAAGCTGACACTGATGCATTCCTGCCACCTGATCTTCAGATCCATCAATTTCATCACTGCCCCCAGAAGGCCTTCATAATAAAAAGAGAATTCAGAATCACGTGTTGTATTTGCTTGTCATGTTTTCTTAGTTTCCCTCAATTGGCTAATTCTCCAGGTTTCTTTTTCTTGACTATGTCTTTAACATTTTGAAGACCACAGACCAGTTATGCTGTGACGCGTCCTAAGGCTTTTCTGCTGTTTCTTGGTTGGATTGGGTCATGCATCCTTGGCAGGAATACACAGAAGTGAGGCTGGGCTCTTCTCATGGCATCCTCTGGGTGGCATGCAGTTTGAAAGGGTCTATTACTGATGACGTTCACCTCGGTCACTTGATTGAGATGACGTCTGCAGGTCACCTCCACTGCAGAGTATTTGGGAGGGGAAGGTGCTTTGAGACTGTAACGCATCAAATTTTCAACTTATGCATTTATTTATTGTGTCAGTATGGACCCGTGGCTTCCTGTTTATTCAGATTGTAATGGGTTATAATCCATGACTACCACATATTTTGATGTTAACATTGTCCCTGATTTGGCCAGTAGACCCTGCAAGCTGGCTTCTGTGTCATTTTGACGTGTCCTCATCATTTTTTGAGCACTTCCTTGTTTTCTGCCACAGATGTTCTAAGGCTCACCTTGTTCTTTCCCTCCTTCAGCCCTGGAATCAGCCGTTTCTCCAAAGAGCCCAATTCCTCAGAATGGAGAATTGTATTTAAAAGCCAAGATCTGGGCACTAGAGTGCCACTGTTCCCAGGCCCCATCAATGGATGGAGCTAGGGCATCAATCTATTTACACAACATTTACCCCTCTATCTGTCTCCTGATATTGAATTCACATCAACTCCTCCACTTGCACTCCCACACCACAGGTGAGGCTAGTGTTCTCCTTTGCCATGTTGGCAACTCCCTTCTCCAACAGTGAGAAACCTGGCACCCACTGTCCTTGAGCTGTATCCTTCGCACATGTATGTGCTGATGAACTGGCCTGATGTAACCAGTCTCCCAACACGGACACACCATGGAGTAGATGCTCTCCACTCAGGCTCTGACACCCTTCTTGGGCTACCCTCCCCCACATCTGACACCCTCTTTACCGTGTCACATCTCTGACACACCATGCTGGGCCACCGTCCTGATAGCAAGGAGGGCAGAAATTTGTTACTCTTGTTTACACCCACATTCCAGACACCTAGACAGTGCCTGGAACATGAGACTCGCTCTATAAATATCAGTTGGTGGAGTGAACCTCTTTCTGATTATTTTGTATACTCCCCCATGTTGAGCATTCTGGTTTTTTTCTTACTTTTCAAGCCCACATGATTCCAGCAGAGCAGCTTCTGGGGTTCCCAGGGTCAGGTCTCAAGTCCACGTGACTGTAGTGCATGGACCAGCCATGGGAGGGCAGCAGAGGGCCCCAACACTGGGGCAGCCCTGGCTTCCAGAGTCGGGGACCATTCTGATGTGAATAAACCCAGGAAGAATATGGGTTTATTCATAGCAGCATCTCCAGAGATGTACAAAGAATGGGTCAAGGCAGGGGAGAGAGACTTGAAGAGTGACAGCTTAGATACAACCAGAGAGTAGCAAAAGTTGGCTGAAGAGGGAAAGCAATGTTGTGGGAGATTTTGCTTAGTGTTTTTGATAAACATCATTTCTTACCTATACCTGTTATACTACTACAATCAAGTTCCCAAACCAAATTTCGACTCTTACTCTGGGGATGGAATACAAATATCAGTGTTTGATCATTTGTAAAGGAAACTCAATTCCTATGTTGCTTAGTTTCACCCAGGATGTTCTCTGAAATGCAGAACGATATTCCAGATGAGGACTGAGCTCTTCAGGCGGCACTCAACGTAAGGAAGCCCTGAGCACATTTCTTGCACTTCTATTCATCGGACTCATTCAAAAACTGTTTTCTTGCAAGTTGCTAAAGGGAATTACTAAAAATGGTAATCAGGAGTGATAATGTCATTCACAGATGTTTTTCAATTAAATCCATGTCTATTATGCAAATTAACTTTTAAAATCATTTTTAATTTTAGCAAGCTTATAAATTCTCAATGTTTAGAGTCAGATGGTCTTTGAAGGTTTGTCATGAAAGCCGTACCTCCCTGATTCTCCCCCTTCGCGTGCACCCCCTCTCTACTCTTCATGTTGATATTTTTCCATTTACTTCCATGTCTTTAAGTATTAGGCTTATATTGCTCCTTCTTGAGTTTTCCCCTTTGGGATACTGACTTCCCCCTATCTTCTCCCCCGTCTCCATCACACACAGCACCCTTCCTCAAAGCCCATTCTTCCAATGTAACTGTATTATTTTTGGTTAGATCAATACTGAGTATCTACGTAGCCAGAAACACAATTACTTTCTTCTGAGACTGTATTTTCCCTAGAGCTAATAACTGCATGATTCTCAGATGCGCTTGGTTTCCCGCGTACCCATGGTTAGTTCAACCCTCTAACTCCAGGTCTCATATTGAAATCTCCTCTCCAGGCTTCAGATGCAGCTGCAGTCGCGTCCGTTTCATCCTTCTACAGCAGCGATCCTCCGAGAGGTCTGACCAGGTCTATGCCTAACACGCACGCCGCTACCGTTCCGGGCTCCCGCTTCAGCGTCATCGTGGGATTCTCTTCTCTTCCCTCCATATTTGATATTTAGGGGTTTCCTGGATTTCACAGCTTCCCCCTTCCTGGTTTATTCCCTCATTTTGGCGGACCACACCTGCCCCATCTTCCTGAGCAAGGGCGCAGGAGAGGCACTGTTCTGCGGACCAGCCCGTCTGACGCGGGCTCTACTCTGCTCGCACTCGGGTGAACGTCGGCTCGTGTGGAGGATAAGCAGGGACTCACTTCCCTCCTGCATTTTGAAGGGGTCCATCCCACGGCCCGCCCGGGACGCCCACCCGACCCCACCGCCCTCGCGGGAGCCCCTCCGCGGCGCTGGGGCCGGCAGCGGCCCGACGGCCTGAGGGCGCCCGGGTCGGGGGCTCGGCCTCTCCGGAAGCCCGCGCGGGGTCAGCCACGTCCTGCCGGGCGCGGCGGTTTCATCACCTTGACTTCAGACTCTGCGCGCCAAGCGGCGACGACGTCCCGACTCCCACAGCAGACAGCCAAGAGGCCCGGCCGGCGAGCGCCCGCCAGCAGACGCGCTTCCCCCCGACCCGGCGATCCGCTTCGCCAGCCCGCCGCGAGGCAGCGTGCGCGTGCGCGGCATGCCAGCGCTCTCTGCGCCTGCGCAGCGCTCGGCCCCGCCCACCTCCGCCCCGCCCTCCGCGGGGCCGACTTCCGGGCGCGGGCCGACTTCCGGGACGCTGCTGCGCGCTGCCCGCTCGTCCGCCGCCGCACGCCGGCGCCTGGGCCCGCGGAGGAGCGGGGTCTGAGGGCGGCGGCTCCGCCGGCCCGGCTCTTTCCCTGGCGGCGGCGGCTTCTTCCGGGGGACAATATGTTCAAGAGAATGGCCGAATTTGGGCCTGACTCCGGCGGGAGAGTGAAGGTCGGTGCCCGGCCGCGTGTCCCCCGCGCCGTCCCCTCGGCCCCGGGCACCAGTGCGGGGACGCCGGGGGGCGACCCGGGCCCGAGGTCCCTCGGCGAGAGCAGGCCCTCCTCCTGCCGTCCCCTCCACGGCGGCGTCCCCGCGGCCTCAGGCGACCGGGACCCGGGGCGGGCGCGTCCGGAAGACCCGCCCGAGCGCAGGTGCGCGGAGCCCGGCGCGACTGCCGGCGGGGCACGCTCGGGCCGCGTCCCTCTGCCCCCGCGTCGCCGCGTCCCGCACGGGCGTCCTGACCGCGGGAGCGGTCGCCTTCGCCCCTCCGCGGTTTCACCGGTCGCAGGAGGCTTCGCTCTGAAAAGGAGTCGCCCGCGTTTGCACCGATGTCGTGGGTCCGCGGGGTGTTTTCGGGTCGCATCCGCGTCCCGTCGTGTTTGCGTAGTTGTCATCACACCGTGCACGCGGCCGTCGTGCGCAGCGTGTTTCTGTCCCACGCGCAGTGGGCGTGCGCCGGAGCCCCGAGGGCTGCTGCACGGAGGGGAGGGGAGAGCCGGCGAGCTCGTGGTCCCGGAGCCTCGTCCGCACGTCCATTGCCCGGGCTTCGGGGGGTTCTGGGCTGGCGGGGGACTTACCAACGGGCTGAAACGAGAGGTTGGGAGAGACTGCGGGATGCGCCCTCCCTGTAGTCGTGCCGGGCCCCGGGAGCGTGTGAGCCTCCGTGCACGGTGATGGAGCGGGTTCAGTCTGCAGGCTTCTGGTGCTCCCCCCAGGAACGGTGTGCGTGCGGCTGACGGCCGGGGCTGCGGGAGCGTGTGAGCCTCCGTGCACGGTGATGGAGCGGGTTCAGTCTGCAGGCTTCTGGTGCTCCCCCCAGGAACGGTGTGCGTGCGGCTGACGGCCGGGGCTGCGGGAGCGTGTGAGCCTCCGTGCACGGTGATGGAGCGGGTTCAGTCTGCAGGCTTCTGGTGCTCCCCCCAGGAACGGTGTGCGTGCGTCCGTGCGACTGACGGCTGGGGCTGCGGGAGCGTGTGAGCCTCCGTGCACGGTGATGGAGCGGGTTCAGTCTGCAGGCTTCTGGTGCTCCCGCCGGAAACGGTGTGCGTGCGTCCGTGCGGCTGACGGCTGGGGCTGCCGGAGCGTGTGAGCCTCCGTGCCCTGTGATGGAGCGGGTTGAGTCTGCAGGCTTCTGGTGCTCCCCCCAGGAACGGTGTGCGTGCGTCCGTGCGGCTGACGGCTGGGGCTCCGGGAGCGTGTGAGCCTCCGTGCAAGGTGATTGAGCGGGTTGAGTCTGCAGGCTTCTGGTGCTCCCCCCAGGAACGGTGTGCGTGCGTCCGTGCGGCTGACGGCTGGGGCTCCGGGAGCGTGTGAGCCTCCGTGCAAGGTGATTGAGCGGGTTGAGTCTGCAGGCTTCTGGTGCTCCCCCCAGGAACGGTGTGCATGCGTCCGTGCGGCTGACGGCCGGGGCCACCGCCTCCTCGCTGGCGCTCATGGCTCTTGCCCGCAAGAGAACCAAACTGTAGGTTATTAGACAGTTTGCTGTTACATAAAACAAGCTTTCAGAACTCTCATTCTGTTTATTTGGGTAATGATACAGTATTAACTGGTATTTAAATTATTTTTCCTTTAGGGGGTTACTATTGTTAAACCAATAGTTTATGGTAATGTTGCTCGGTATTTTGGAAAGAAAAGAGAAGAAGACGGGCACACCCATCAGTGGACAGTGTATGTAAAGCCCTACAGAAACGAGGTAGGTGCTTGTTTTTTCTATAACTTCTTTTGAAGCTACAGTTTGTTTTGCTTGAAAATAAGTTGTGATTTGTGTGTGTGTGTGTGAGGAAGATCGTCGCTGAGCTAACATCCATGCCCATCTTCCTCTATTTTGTGTGGGACCCTGCCAAAGCATGGCTTGAGGAGCAGTGCTAGGTCCGCCCCCAGGATCCCAACCTGCAAACCCTGGGCCACCGAAATGGGAGCACACAAATTTAACCACTATGCCACCAGCTGGCCCCATGCAATTTTTTTTTTATAGTAACTTTCCCATTATAAAATTAGCCCACTGTAGAAATGTTACCAAAAAATTGAAATAATAAAGTAAGGGCTGTCATCTTCATATAATTCTTAATAGAAATCAATTTTCCAGAAATGTTTTCTAATTAAAATTAAGTGACAGTGACAAAAACTATGCTGTAGGCTCGGTTCTCATCCCAACACCATTTCTTAAACTAGCATGGGATTCTAATCAGGTGTTGTAGGAATAAGCAGCTCGTGCTTTGTAAGTGATAATGGGTGATAAGACCACTAGGGGGTGTGAGAGAGAACTCTGCTGTGTCCTCTGCCTGGTGGTAATTGTATTTTAGGGCTGAAGCTCCAGTGCCTGGAACACAGCCAGCACATAGTAGGTATTCAACAGATGTTTATCGAATGAATACACATTATATTTTAAATCCTTCAAAGTCCACCCAAAAACTTGTATATAATTGCTCATAGTGGCATTATTCATAATAGCCAAAAAGGGGGAAACAACTCAAATATCTGTCATCTAATGAGTAGATAAATAAAATGTGGTGTATCCATACAATGGAATGTTGTTAGGCAATAAAAGAAATAAAGTACTGATACATTCTACTACCACATAGATGAAACTTGGAAACATGCTAAGTGAAAGAAGCCAGACACAAAAGGCCACATACTGTGTTATTCCATTGTGTTTTTTTTTTTTTTTTTTGAGGAAGATTTGCCCTGAGCTAACATCTGTTGTCAATCTTTCTCTTTTTGCTGAGGAAAATTAGCCCTGAACTAACACCTGTGCCAATCTTCCTCTGTTTCATGTGTGGGTCACTGCCACAGCATGGCCACCGACGAGTGGTGTAGGTCTGCGCCTGGGAACCAAACCTGGCTGCCAAAGTGGAGCATGCCAAACTTAACCACTAGGCCACAGGGCCAGCCCTTCCATTTTTACAGAATGTCCAGAATAGGCAAATCCATAGACATAGGAAAGAGGTTAGTGGTTGCCAGTGGGTGGGAGGAAGAGGGATTCGGGAGTGAGTGCTAATGGGTGTGGGGTTCTTTTTGTCTGGTAAAAACGTTCTAAAATTGATTGTGGTGATGGTTGTACAACGCTTTGAATGTACTGAAAACCATTGAGTGGTTCACTTCCGATGGGTAGGTTGTGTGGTAGGTGAATTATGTCTCAAGCTGTCACTAAAAGGAAAAAGCCCTCAGTGGCTCCCTCCTGCCTCTCGGTCAACTTGAGCTCTGGTGTTGAGCAGCCCTGCTGCAGACTTCCCCTGCCCTGTCTGCAGCCCGCTCCCTTGTCTGGGTTCATCCCATCATTTTCTAGGCCCTGCGTCTTTCCAACACCTAATTACTCTTAAACCTCTTCACTCATTCCTCCCCACCCACTCCATTCCTGCTGTTCCCTTAGTTCTCAGTTTGTGTCATTTTCTTTAGAAATACTGTCTTGCTCACCCAAGACTGTCAGGCAGCCCTCCTATGGACTTGTACCTAACGCCCTCGTAACAGATTACATAGAAATGCTGGTCTTCTCGACTGCCTCCTCCACACTGAGATCTGGAGGGCAAGACCCCGTTGTTGACCATTATAGCATCTGCTCCCCAATTTTGCTAGTCACTCATTTGCAGGAAAAAAAGAGTGAAAGTATCCCAAAAGAGTCTTCAAAAATGCTTATGAAGATCTGCCTCAGGAAAAGCGTTGGCAGTATACTGTTCAGTTATGAAAGCAGATAATAATATATCACTACAGGATGGTCCCAATTTTTAAAATATAGGTATATATTTAGATAATAAGCACATAAAAATTCCTGAAAGCAAATAAAAAGATTAATAAACATTACTATTGAGTATGACTTACTGTTTTGCATTTTCCTCTTTTTCTATAATGAGTTATTTTTTAAGGGCCGCCTTTACCAGAAGAGGCTCTTTATGTGCCAGAACCGATGCACGTGCGCCTGTGCTTCAACAGAGTTTAAGGAAAGGAGCAGCTTTATATCCAACAGCTTGGGCTTGCTTAGTTTAGTTGGCCTTAGCTTTATCAGACTTTGTTCTTTGAAGTTGATTAGGTCTTAGATTTGCTTTGGTTTCTATGGTTATTTCTATAAAAATATTGAAAGGGTAATATTGTTTTTATGGAAAAATCAAAATTGATTTAGAGTATTGTGTTTAGAGATGTATAAAAACAGGATTTGCAAAACACATCGGGGACATATATTCCTATATATGAATTATGAAAGAATTCATGGGCCTCCTTTGTTTAAAGTAAGAAACAAACCTCCCACGTATAATTCATGTTTTTTAGAAAAGTGTATTCCATAAAATTTAAGGGAAAGTGTATTTAATTAGGTACATATGCTCAGTGTATTTCCCTCCTACTTTTTCTATGTGGATGGCAGAACTAATTAAACCTCTGTATTCTAGGATATGTCAGCATATGTGAAGAAAATCCAATTTAAATTACATGAAAGCTATGGTAATCCTTTAAGAGGTACAGTACAGTTTTTTGATTCATAACATACAAATTTTCAACAGGGAACTGAATCAGTAATTTACAACTTATAGTTGTTTTTCTCTCTCTCTTCAGTTGTTACTAAGCCTCCATATGAAATTACTGAAACAGGATGGGGTGAATTCGAAATAATCATCAAAATATTTTTCATTGATCCTAATGAAAGACCTGTGAGTAATGTTAATTTTTGCACCTATGAAGTGGGTTTGTTAGTAATTGTGAAACTGTAGCCATACTTACTGAGTCGCTCGCTGTGTGCTGACGTTTTCGTGAGATGTCCTGGATGTACGCTGGGGCCTGGGGCCTCTTGCTGTGAGTTAAAGTTTTCCATTTTTAAGTGAAGTGCCTTTCAAAACTCTTTTATTTTTCAAGTATAGAAAGAAGGGGTATAATGTGAACATTTGTTGGAAAGAAACCTTGGAAAGCATATGATTACTAGAGCAAAAAAGCTTAAAATTCGTTAGTATCATTTGGTTATTAGTGACAAACAGGTTGAGTCATAGGCTGTCTGAAATGGGGGTATTCAGTTTTTTATAGTTGGAAGCCTTAGAAACACGCTTCTTGCTTTTTCAAGCTGCCATGAGTACTAGCAGCTCTACTTAATATCCTCCTCTGTGGCTTGATTGTGTGAAAACTCCCTCAAACCTTGCACTTTGATCCGTCAGCAGCTTTGTGAGGTTGGTGATGTCGTTTTAGAGATGAGGATCCTAAAGTTCAGGGATCAAGCGCTGCTCAGAAACAGTTGTGGCAGAGCTAGTTTTTGAACCCAAGTACTGCATTCACGCCTCAAACTCTCTCCGTTACTCTTTCTTTTGACTAAAACCACTAAGCCTTTTTTATTTTTGAACACATGGGGTCACAACTCAGTGTGGCTCTCCCACGTCTGTGTGACTGGGGCGTGACTCCGGCTTCAGGCCCGTAACGTTCATCATGGTTAGTTTTCGTTAGACTCAGCCCGTTCCCTTAGTTCCCTTAGCACCAAATATTTGCACTTTAATTATCAGATTGTGTTTTTAAAACTGTGTGTGTGCTTTTACAGGAGTTGAACATCACCTGGGCCAGTGAATCAGAGAATTAGTTCCTAAATGGCTGCACCAGAAACGCCTGAGGTGTTTTTTTAAAAATTCAAACTGCCCCCGCCTGCGCCTGACTCAGTGGGTGTGGAGGGGCCGGCACCCAGGTGATCTCAGTGCCCGGGGATGCTCTTCCCACGTAGGAATTCCTTTCCGCAGGCTCTCTAGTGAGAATCCAGTTTGGGCTTGCCTGTCTCCAGTGTGGAGAACATTGACTTGTGTCATCCTCTTCAGGTGTGAGGTAGTTCTTGTTTTAAGAAAGCCCTACTTTATGCTAGGCTTCCTTGAACTTTTGACTGGTAACTGTTCCTACATTAGTTTTCTTTTCTCCTGAAGAAACATCCATAGCTCATTTACACATTTTCCATGTGGTAAGGTTTCCAGATCTCCTACCATTCTTGTCCTTCTGGAATACTCTCACAGACATTATATTCTATTTGGCAAGAAATTATTAAATATCGATTATTTGCAAGACACTGTTCAAGGGTTAGGATACAAAGATGAGACCCTGCTCTTATTCTTTTTTTTGAGGAAGATTGGCCCTGAGCTAACATCTGTGCCCATCTTCCTCCGTTTTATATGTGGGATGCCTACCACAGCATGCCCTGATGACCAATGCTTAGGTCTGTGCCCAGGATCCAAACTGGTGAACCCCAGGCCACCGAAGCAGAGCAGGTGAAGTTAACTGCTGTGCCACCAGACTGGCCCCCCTGCTCTTATCCTTAATGAGAATAATCTATTGGGGAGAATAGGGCACAGGATTCAGCAGATGTTGTGGGGGGAGAAGTCGGTAATGTTACTAGAGCAGAAGCTCTTTTTAGCTTTGTGAGATTGCTTTGGGTTCATTTTTATTTTGAGAATGTGCTGCCTTACCTGTCTGTTACCTCCTCTGTTCCCTGCCTCACCCTCAGCTGGAAAATACACCTGTGAAAGAAATGACTGTGTTGTGTAAGCTCACTAAGAGACAGCTCTGCACGTCCTCTCTTGGAAGAGAGGCAGTGTGGTCATTTGCGCTACTCTGATTGACTCATTGAGTAGGTTTCCATGTGGACCTACATAGGCTTCAATTTTATTCCCTAAAAGGTGTTATGATGTTCTTCTGGTGTGGTGAAACCATTATACTTGTTCAGTAGTTGGCTCTTACAGAAAATAGGTCATATGAAGGTTTAATTAAACGATGGCATATGATGCATGCTCCGTATAATGATTTTAGCTAACTTTTTGGAAAATTCTCTGAGGCCTCTGAATTGTTTTCTGCAGCTTCACTGTAAACTCTGACGTTTGCCAGCTAGGTTTTATTTTGCTCGAGTAATCACACATTGTGCCTCAAAGCTTTTTCTTTGATGTCTTACTGCACCTGTGTTTGAGTATTTTGAAGACATGTTGCTCTTGCCAAAGTGAATTATCACTAACTTTTTATTACTTATGTGATAACCTTAAAGATCAGCACAGAAACTATCTGCCTTCACTGAGCATTTTAGTATTGGTCATTCCTTTTGAAGTATCAGAGATCTTTTTTTCCCCAGAGTAAATTTGTAAACTTTAATCTTCACAGAATAACTGTCACAGTTATTCGAATTTCACTTGTGTGAGTAAAAGAACTCATGCCTTAGTGATTTAATTTCCATAGCTCTCTCTTGTGTTACAGTTATGCATAGTCACTCTCTGGAGATGCTATAGCAGACCCTAACTTACGCCCTTCAGAGCATTCCTGTTAAGCAGATGTAGATGGATGCTGTGATACCTAATGGGGAAATGACAGTACAGAGAGTTTGGGCAATTTGTCACAGTAAGTGGTAGTTGAGACAAGCTCCTGAATTTGATGTTTTTGCTACTTCCAGCCTCTAAGTCACTTACAGAAATGACAGTGTCTCACAGTGATGATGAAAACCATTCACAGATGTGACGTCTGTTTTTGTTTCATAGGTAACCCTGTACCATTTATTAAAGCTGTTTCAGTCAGACACCAATGCAATGCTGGGAAAAAAGACAGTGGTTTCAGAGTTCTATGATGAAATGGTAAGAAGATTTTATAGTGAGTGAGTTTTAAAAGCATTTTAAGTTGTATAACTTCAACATTATTGGGCTTTTTTCCATTCTATCCCATTAGATATTTCAAGACCCAACAGCAATGATGCAACAATTATTAACAACATCTCGTCAGCTAACATTAGGAGCCTATAAGCATGAAACAGAATGTGAGTATCAAGAATTCCTAATTAATCCTGAAAAATAATGTATTCTGTAATGGTGAAAGGATTGTGTGATTAGTGACTATTAAATTTTTTCTTATGTTTTATATTTATATGTGTAGATATGTCAATTTTTTGGGACTTAAACAACCAAATATGTATTACCATAGAACATATAAGAGGGATATTTTAAATTGCTCCCAGAGCAGCCTACTTTTAAATGATAAAAGGCAGCCTCTCACATTCTCTGAAATATTTTCTGTCTTTTTTTCCCTAGGTACATTTAAGCATAACTTTTTGTTAATCTTGCTTAACCTGTCACTCAGTTATTTTCTGTTTACTAGTTTTTACTAACAAAATCTGTGTGAAGAACCTTGAGAATATAATTAAACTTTTGTTTACTGTGAACTAGTTTATCTCCTTTTTTAAAAACCTGTGTCATTCTACATAGTTTCAGATTAATGCTGGGATGGTGAATACCAGTTGGTAATCAGTCATGGTATGTCTTCCCTCAGCATCCACCCCCTCCATCACTCCATGCAGCTACTGCCAGTCATTTGCAGTTGGCACTCAAAACGAAACCTGTTTGCCATCATTCGTTCAGTTCTTCCTTTGATCTTTCATTCATTTGCTTACAGTGTATACTGAGCACCAGTTCTATGCCAGGCATTGTTCTAGGTTGTCCTAAAGCCAGGTGAAGAAAGCGTATCCAGAAATAGTCATTAGCTGTGTGCAATACTGTTGATAGGTCTGGTAAGATGAGAGCCAAGAAATGGAGTATAGCAAGGGGGAGGTCCTTGAGGACCTGAGCAGGAACAGTTGAAGGAGAACAGTAAGGACAGGAGATGGTTGAAGTGGGTCAGGAGAGAAGGAGGTGAGGGGAATTGGAGACAGTGCTGTGGACAACCCTGTCGTAGAGCTGGGCTGTAAGGGAAGCGGTGATCCTTCAAGTAGCAGAAGCGGGATCTGGGGTCAAGAGGGTAGTGTTTTCCAGGGGAAATGAACCAGTATATTTGTCGGCTGAAAGAAGTGAGCAGTAGAAGAAGGGGAGGAGGGGTGAGACTAGGGGAGAGGAGGTGCTGTTTCCCCATCAGTGGCTCTAGCAGGGTTGTGTTTATATTTTCATGAAACTCATCATGGGGAGTTAAAACACTGGAATACAAATGATGCTTTCACCACTTGGTAGTCATTTAAAATGTAAAATCACACTCATTTAAAACCTTGATGCTTCGCTTTCTACATCTGCAGAAATATTTACCTGGCCTACTTTGTTATGAACATAAAACAAAGATATGTGTATGATCACTTTGAAAAGGTAAAAGCACTACTAATATACTATTTTAATTTGTTATTAGTCATTTCCTCTCCATTATAGATCTTTATCCTGTACCATGAAATACGCCCAATTCATAGAGGAAACTTGTCTTTGAAAATTCAAGTGCCCACATTTTTGTGTTTTCAACAAAACTAGTATCATTAATTCATTTGTATATAATAAGTAGGTACAAATAATTTGTTTTATAGAAAGGCACTTCTATACATTTACTTGGATGTGTTAAAGCTTATGTAAGAAGCTGTATAACCTTGGGAAGTTTTTATCAGTAAATTACATGTTTTGTGTTATCTTCAGTTTATTTTCTTAACAGTATCAAATCAATAAGGAAGAAAAAGATAATTTCTTAAATGTTATTGGCACAATTGATAAGCTTTTGGGAGGAAAACTTAATTTAGATCATTGTTTCATAGGATTTACCAAAATAAATTCCAGTTTAATTAAAGATAGTTCAGTGTTTTTTTAAAGTCATTCAGCGTGTTTACAGTATTAGAGGAAGGACTGTCCTGGCTAGGGAAGACTTTCTAAGTTTGAGATATTAGAAGAAATCACTTTATAAGAAAGACAAACTCGATTTTGTAAAAAATGTTTAACTTATGCGTTTCAGAAGGGCAAAGAAGAAAAATTTGTTGAAAATATGACAGAGGACTAATACCTTAAAAACTCTAAAATAGATAAATAAAAAAGAAAAAATTTAAACTTCAATTGATAAATGGACAAAAGACATCGACAGATGAAAGAGGAAATGACTGGTAAATAAAATAGGAAAATATTTGGCCCTTCTACGAATTGAAAAAATGCAAACCAAACAATTATGGGTGGTTGTATTTGTGTCAAATTAACAAAAGGAACCTTTACTAGTTGTACCTTTTAAGGGTGTGGTGAACCCTGCATTTTCATGAATTGTTTGAGTATAAATTGCTTTAGCCTTTTAAAGAGCAATTTGGGGATATTAATCAAAGGCCTAGAAGAGATATGTACACTTTTACCAACTTGAGGGTCTTATACTCAATATTTGGGTAATAATAAAATATTACTTAGATTTATGGAGTGCTTACTGTTTGTACTCTTCGAAATCTGTACCTCTGTAAACTCATTTAGATCTAGAATAACTTGATTAGGTAACCCATGTAGAAAAGGAAACTGAGGCACAGGGAGGTCAAGAAACTTGCCCAAGCTAACACAGCTAGTTAGTGTTGGAGCCAGGACTTGATCCCAGGCAGTCCTTAGAACTTAGACTCTAAAAACTTAGTAATATTTTTAGGTAGAGTAATATTCGGATAGAAGTTGCTCATTATGATGCATATTAAAAGTTTTTAAAGCTGTTTATAGTAGTAAACTGGAAGTTTACTTAAGCCCTAATGATCTAGCTTTTAATAGTAATAATGGCTTCCACAAGGAATAATTAAATGATAGTGAAGACTAATGAGAACTTTCTGTGTACTCAGGTTTCTTCCCTTTTTGGGCGCCCCTAACAACCCTCGGAGGAAGGTGCTGCTGTTAGCCCAGTGTGCGAGTAACCACCCTGGGGCAGAGAGAGGTTTGATAACTTGCCCAGATCACCCAGCAGAGCTGGGATGCAGACCCAGAGCCTGTGCCCGTAGCCATCCAGCCGTGCTGTGTGTGTGGAAGCCTCAGTCTGTGCTCCTAAGCAGTGAGTGATCCTGGATAGGTTTCCTCTAAATTGAGGCTTCCTTTGGAAATTAAGAACAGAAATTTTTCTTTTTTATGGAAGCATTTAATATATAGGAAGCAGAAAACTGGAACAAGCGACAAGAAATTTTAAAATATTTTCCTTCAGGATCTCACTGCTAATTAACCTAGGTCTTCTTCCAAATATATCATGCCCTTTGCAGTCTTATGATTTGTCAAAAATAAAGTATAATGACTAAATCAGACAAGAATCTACATCTAGAGTGAAGGCTGTCCTCTGACAGAGGAGTTAGATCAGGTCTCCCACCTCGATCTCAGACCGCCTGCTGCAGTCGTTAGGACTCCTTGCTGTTCCCAGGCCCTCCTGTGTCAGCTTCCTCTACCTGATTCCTTTCTCATTCTTTAAGACTCACTCAGATTTTACCACTACCAGGAAGCTCTCCTGGATACGCTTACACCCTTTCCCTCGGTGCGGATCCAGTCTGCTCTCTCAGCTCCTGTGACTACCCCATGGCGCTGTACTGCATTTTCCTCTCTTGTATCTCCTACCTCTGTGCCCCAGCATCTCACAGAGTGCCTGTCAGTCAGTGTGTGTTTTTAATTGATGTGGAGAGAGAGAGAGCAAGGGAATAAAACTTTCTGCATAGTAAAAAGCACTGTAAACAAAATCTAGAGACACACAGCCATGAATATTGTACTCATAATCACAAATGACTGGTTTCTTTAATTTATACAGAGCTCCTGCACATCAGTAAGAAAGGCCAGTAACTGAAAAGCTTGTGTGCAGCAAAGGAAGCCATCAGCAAAATGAAAAGGCAGCCTACCAAAAAGGAGAAATATCTGCAAATTATGTATCTGATAAGGGGTTGGTATCCAAAATATACAAAGAACACATATAGCCTAGTAGGGGAAAAAAGCAAACAGTTCAATTAAAAAACTGGCAAAAGATCTGAATAGACATTTTCCCAAAGAAGACACACACATGGTCAACAGGTACATGAAAAGGTGCTCAACGTCACTTAATCGTCAGGGAGATGCACATCGAAAGCACAATGAGAGATCCCCTCACACCTGTTAGAATGGCTGTTCTCAAAAAGACAAGAAATCGCAAGTGTTGGCAAGGATGTGGAGAAAAGGAAACTGTTGTGCAGTGTTGATGGGAATGTAAATTAGGGCAGCCAGTATGGAAAACAGTATGGAGGCTCCTCAAAAAATTAAAAATAGAACCACCATGTGATCCAGCAATTCCACTTCTAGGTATTTATCCAAAGAAAATGAAAACACTAATTCGAAAAGATACATGCACCCCCATGTTCATCGCAGCATTATTTAGAATAGCCGAGATACAAAAACAACCTAAGTGTCCATTGATGGATGAATGGATAAAGAAAGTGTGATGTGTGTATATATATATATATATATACACGCAATAAAATATTCCATCATAAAAAAAGAAGGAAATCTTGCCATTTGTGACAACATGGATGAACCTTGAGGGCATTATGCTAAGTGAAGTAAGTCAGAAAAAGACAAATATTGTATGATCTCACTTATAATGTAGAATCTTAAAAAACAAAAAACACCATGGGGCCAGCCCTGTGGCACAGCGGTTAAGTGCGCACGTTCCACTTTGGCCTGGGGTTTGCTGGTTCATATCCCGGGTGTGGACATGGCACTGCTTGGCAAGCCATGCTGTAGTAGGTGTCCCACATATAAAGTAGAGGAAGATGGGCATGGATGTTCGCTCAGGGCCAGTCTTCCTCAGCAAAAAGAGGAGGATTGGTGGCAGATGTTAGCTCAGGGCCACTCTTCCTCAGCAAAAAAATAGGAGGATTGGCAGCAGATGTTAGCTCAGGGCTAATCTTCCTTAAAAAAAAAAACACCAAACTCACAGATACAGAAAACAGATGGGGAAGTGAAATCCATGAAAGGGGGGCACAAGGACAAACTTCCAGTTATAAAATAAATGAGTCCTGGGGATGTAATGTACAGCTTGGCAACTATAGTTAATAATACTGCATTATATAGTTGAAGGTTGATAAGAGAGTAGATCTTAAATCTTCTCAGCACAAGAAAAAAATTTTTTAACTATGTATGGTGACAGATGTGACTAGACTTATGGTGGTGATCATTTTGCAAGATATGCAAACATTGAATCATTATGTTGTACACCTGAAACTAATATGTCAGTTATACCTCGATTTAAAAAAGGCCAATAACCTAACAGAAAAATCAGCAAAGGAAAAACAGACATTTCATAAAAAGGAAGGGAGAAATGTTTCCTAAACATATAAAAAGATCAGTCAGCCCCAGTAGTAAGAATAGAAATGCGAATTAAAGCTACTCTGAAATACCATTTTTCGCCTCAGGTTAACTAAGGCTCAAAAGCTGACACGACAGGGGCACCCACTGCTCGCAGGACTGTAGCAGCAGAGCCTGAGTCACCAGGCGCTCGTCCAGGATCACAAGGCCTAGATCCCTCGACCTAGCAATTCTGCGTGTCGGGATTTACCCTATGGATAGACTGAAATGATGGTGTGCAGCACACACGTCATAGCACTGTTCATAATAGAAGAAATGGAAAGACTCTGAACGGACATCGAGGGGACACTAGTGAATTACGGGGGTCTGTTCAGTGAGGTCCCTGCAGCCGTTAAAGCATGAGTCTGGGATGTGAGGAGCTTTCAGATAGAGTGAAGTGAACGGCCAGGTGCAGATCAACGAGTGTGGTGTGACACCACTTGTATTGGGTGAGGAGGAGAAGTAACGCCTAGGTGTGTGCTCGTCTGTGAACAGATTATTTCTGGCAAGATACCAAAGAAGCCTACTAATGATTCATTCTGGGTGGGGGGGCAGGGGCGGAAGGAGACATTTTTCATTATCTACACTTTCAGCCTTCTAATTTTGTGTCCTGTGTGTAGTACCTGTTTTCAAAAATAATTTTTAAAATGAAAGAAATTACACATAAAAATATGGATTGTTTTGGCAGTATAAAAATTTACCTGTTAGGAAATGTATCACAAAAAGAAAATCACCAGCAACAAGCAGAATAAGGAAACGTTACTGCATGTTTTTAATGTCTGGATGCTTCATATACATGACTTACTCCTCATAAATCCCCTGGGAAATACAGTTTTAACTGTGTCCTACAGAAAGAAGAGACCAAGGGAGGCTTAGAGGTACCAGCATCCAGCTAACAAGGGGCCAAAGGTGTATTTGCACCCAGGTCTCTCTGATATTAGAGGTTGGGTTTTCAGTGTTTTTTTCCCAAACCCTGCTGCTTCTAGTTAGTGATCATCTTGTTTTAGCAAAAGTACAACTGTGCTTTAATAGTCATCAGCAGCAGTTGCCTTAAGTGTCCACCAGATGGTAATGTTGCAGGAAAGTAGGCGTTTTTCTTTGTAAAACAAGTGGAATATTTAAATAGATGGTGTCCGTTTTTGCAGTAATGATATTTTCTTTAGTAATTTATGTAGGCCCCTAGAATGTTTTACATATCATTTAATGTTCCTCTGTCATAATAGTAATTAATATGGCTTTTTATGTACCAGACCAGTGTTCTAGATACTAAATAGGCATTAATTCACTTAAAATCTTCTCAACAAATAATGTTATGAGGTGTTTGGTCTTATAATCTCTTTTTCAGCAATGAGGAAGTGAGCATAGGGATAATAACTAACTTAGCGTGGCACGGCTGTTAGATGGTAGAGGTGGAATTCAAACCCAGACAGTTAGTGCTGTCTTTTTTGAAAAAAGGGATGGGTTTGTTTTGTCAGCGTGATTTTCATTACCTAAGTTTTACCTGTAAATAAATGTAAGAACACTGTATTTGGTTAGCTCTTCTTACTAGCTGGATGTCTCTTGGATTGTATGCCCCCGTATTTCCAAATTAATGTGTATATGCAGAAAAACAAGGACGTCATGTCTTAAAATCTTAAAATACTAGTGGGCAGAATTTCATTCTTAGTTGTAGACAACATCTGAGATCCTCTCTTGGGAGTTCAGACGTCCTTCCCTTCCGTGTTTAATGTTGTAGATCTTGAGTTGTCCATGCTTCATCATGGAAACACTGACTAGTAAATACCGTGTTTATTACTCAGTGCCATATCTTAGACTTGTGAGAAAAAAGAAATAATTTAATAAAAGTACATGTTTTCCTTAGTTGCAGAACTTGAAGTGAAAACCAGAGAAAAATTAGAAGCTGCGAAAAAAAAAACAAGCTTTGAAATTGCAGAGCTTAAGGAGAGATTAAAAGCAAGTCGAGAAACTATTAATTGTTTAAAAAATGAAATCAGGAAACTCGAAGAAGATGATCAGACAAAAGAGATATAAACCATTCTGAAGAGAACTTGAGAGGAAGCTGTACTGAGAGTGAGGGACTTGGAGAAGTGGACCGTGAATACTGCTCCTCAGGAACTGCGCCTACAGTTGTGACCACGGGCTGCTCATCAGAGGGGTCAAAGTATGTGTACTTTTCAAGCCATCTTTAATGTGAGACATATGTGGGTAATAAGAATGAATGCTGTATAGGCATTTTATCAGCCCATTTTAGGGTAATTCTATGATGTTAAGCACAACTTAAAAAATTTTTTATTGTATTTTATGTATAGCTTATCCTTTTTGACAGGCATCATAATTTGGTTATAAAGTATAACTTGTACAAATTTTATACTTCACTAGTAGTTAGAATTAGTGGTAAAATTAAAGTGTATATTTAATTTTGTAAGTTCTTATCTGTCCCCGTCCTAACCTTTGTGTCTGATATGCCCAGTGCCCTGTCGGTTTCAGTAAATGTAGCTTACGGATCCTCTCTCTGCCTCTTGCTGTGTTTCTTCCTCTGTGAAGCACCTGGAGCTCTCTCGTTACAGGTAACGTATCTCTGTGGTATTGTGACTACACGTCTCTGTTGGCGCTCGTAGCATACAGACGCTTGTGATGGCGAAGAGCTTAAGTATTTTTCTGCCTAACTACTTCAGTGTCATTCGTTTTCACATAGAAAAACATTTAGTCCCTCATGCATGTTCCAATGACACAGAGGAAGCAGCCGTGCATCGGCTTCACAACTGCCTTCTCCTCCTCAGCCTGACCTGTTCAAGCCCACGTGGTGAGCCCCTGCTTTTGGACTCAATCTAATTTGAACATTCAGTAGTAGTTGATCTTTAAGGCTGTGTTAGTGGAACCTCCTTGGCAGCTGAGGGACAATAATAGGTAGGAAAGCATTCTGGGAAAGGTGCAGCATTAACACGTACAAAGCTCGCAAAGGTGGCCCCCAGGCCGGACGCAGGGATTCTGTATGCTCTGTAGGCTCACAGCTAGCCACCCTTGCACTTGAAGATACTTTATCTATCTGCCCTTGTAGATTGGTTACTTTTTACTTTGTTGCTGTATTTTTTAAGTTGTGGCATTTATAAGCATTATGGTGGTTGTGCAAAGGTATCTGTGGCTGAAATCTCTGCCAGAGGCCCTCTGGGGTTAAGGATGGCACTTCTCATTCTGCCAGGCATCATTCAGCTCTTGCCCGGCGCCCACAGCGTAGGAAGGGCCTGGGGAGAGGTCAGGAAAACTAATGGGGGAGGAAAATCTCATTCTACTTGAGGAACCTGACATGGAAGGTCATCCCTCATTATTCTAGCCAGATTAACCCCCAAGAATGTAGAGATTCCTAATACTAAAGTCTGACTTTATGCATGGGTGAATACAAGAATTCAAAATATGTCTTCATGGCTCAATCTCGCCCTTTGTCAGCCCTTTATTCTGTGTTGGCTTTAAGTAGGATCGCCCATGAGGTTGCAAAGAATTCTTAATAATCCAAAAATAAAAAACCTAATTTAAAAAGTGGGCAAAGGATTGAATAGACATTTCTCCAAAGAAATACAAATGGCCAATAAGCACATGAGGAGATGCTCAACATCATTAGTTGTTAGGAAAATGCAAATCAGAACCACAGATACCACTTCACACCCACTAGGATGGCTATAATTCTAAACAAAACAAAGTAAGTTTTGGTGAGGATGTGGAGAAATTGGAAGCCTCATACATTGCTGTTGGGAATGTGAAATGGTGTAGCCACTTAGAAAAATGGTTTGATAACTCCTCAAAAAGTTAAGCTTAGTTACCCTAGTTACCCAGCAATCTTACTCCTAGGTGTGTACTCGAGAAATGAGACATGTTCACGGAGACACGTGTATGTGAACATTCGTGGCAGAATTATGCATAATGGCCCAAAAGGGAACAACCCAAATATCCATCAACTGATGAATGAATGAATAAAATGTAGACACATACAGTGGAATATTACTCAGCCAGAATAAGGAAATAAGTACAGATTCTGTACAACATGGATGAACCTTGAAAACATATGTGAAGTGAAAGAAGCCAGACACAAAAGCCACATATGGTATGAGTCCATTTATATGGAAAGCCCTAAATCGGCGAAGCTGCAAAACAAAGTGGATTCGTTGTTCCCAGGGGATAAGGAGAAGGGGATTTCCACTCTGGGTGATGAAATGTTCTGGAATTAGTGGTGGCAATTGCACAATCTTGCAAATATGCAGAAATCACGAAGTTGTACATTTTAAAAACAGTTTAAATGAATACTTGTGTGAATTTTATCTCAAAAAAACATTTAAGTGGCAAATTTTGTTTAGAATTATACAAACTTTAAAAATATTCTACAAGGTCTTGATTTCTGTTTCCCCATTCTTCTACAAGTGGAAGAGAATATTTATTTACCAAGGATTAATCACTTTATTGAGATAAAGACTAAGAACAATGAAAGGAAACTCGGCTAATTAGGCAGCTCCCGCTCTAAAAATCAAGGTGTAAGTCTCCTTTCTCTGCACAGTGGTAGGTAGGCAGCTAGTGCTGCTATCCTTGTTTTACAGACGGGAGACTAGGGGACTCTAGCTAGATGGTGAGTCAACCAGCAATGTGACTCAAACTAGTAATCTACAGCTAGAGGCCTTTCTGCCTCAGTAACACTTCTTCTCCTCTTCAAAGCGTTAGCATTTTTAATTGTCTGTTGCTCGTGCCTAAACACTTCTCAGATCTCATTTCTTTAACTAATTGGAGTAATCCAGGACTGTCGAATGTGAGCGTCAGGTGGCATGGATGCAGACACTGAGATGCGGTTACCGTTAGTAACATGTAAGGAAATTCTGGTGTTAATCCCTCTAGGTGGAATATGAAAGAACAGATGTCTGAAATCTCTCGTAGAAGATATTCCAGGTACCTATTCCTTAGCATTACCCCCAATGTCTCTAGTTTGTTTTTTTTCTAATAGTAATAGACTTCAAATTCTTGAGATTGAAACCAAAGAAAATGAGATCATACAGGTACTAGCTAGAAAAAACATGAGTAAATATTATTTTTTTGGAATTGGAAAGAACTTTTAAAGCACAGTGGGAAACCCAGAAATCATAAAGTTCTGGATCTCAAATTGGATGAGTTTAGGAATCTCCTGGGACTTGCTTTAAAATAATCCAGAGAATGTGAGATGGTGGGGATAGGGCATGGAGACGAAACAAGACTGGCCATTTGTTGATAATTTTTGAAGCTGGGACATAGGTATATGGGATTATATTATTCTCTTTCCTTTTGTATATGCTTGACATTTTCCGTAATAAAAGGGTTTTTTTGTCAGACAGAGAAAACCATTAAAATTCCTTTTTTATTCTCCCTGAAGTCAAGATCTGATAAAGAATAAGTCATTTTAATCACAGCACACACTCTCAGAAAATGACAGTACCTTCCAATTGCATAGTTTACATGTTTACTTCTGTATTTTTTATTTTAATAATTCTAGCAAATTCTTCCCTATTGATCATTGAATATAATAAAAATCGGGAAGGATGGAAGGGAAGGAAGAAAAAAGAAAAGAGATAGATAGGAAAGGAGAAAGGAAGACAATCCCCTGCAGAGATTTTAAGTACAGAGTCCCAGGTTTCATCCCAGAAGTTTGGTTAGCTGGGTCTGGAATGGGGCCCAGGAATGTGCATTTATACAAAGCATCCAGGTGATTTGAGAAACTGTCACAGTGGCACAGCTTGATAGGTTGGGCTACATAAAAATGCAACACCTCTAGATGGGGAAAAAAGAAAAACAGTCAAAAGGGAAACTGGGCATATCGAACAGGTCTAATTCTTTAGTGTAAAACATTCTTACCAGCCACCAAGGAAGACAAATAAACCACTGACAAAAAGAGCAAAGGATATGAACAGGGAGTTCACTAGAGAGGACATAAAAATGGCCAGTACATGTGCTGATCCCAATAAATCTTAAGAGTATGCAAGTTTAAGTAGCAAATACTTCTCGTCCATTTAGGAGGAAATAAATGTTTCAGATAAATATTGATAATCAGAGAAGGTGCCCCTTATGATACTGATGAGAGACCAGAAATATAGCCCAGTTGACTGATGGAGATGGGTAATCTTTATGTTTTGTTTATCTGAAATTCAAATTTAGCTAGACATCCTATATTTTTACTTACTAATCTGATAACCCTGTATCTACAGGAGATAGGAAGGATTTTCAAAAAACAAAAGGCAAGGGGCTGGCCCCATAGCCGAGTGGTTAAAGTTCCCTGGGCTCCCCTTCGGCGGCCAGGGGTTCACGGGTTCAGATCCCAGGCCTGGACCTACTCCCCTCATCAGCCATGCTGTGTAGGCATCCCACATGCAAAATGGTGGAGGACTGGCACAGATGTTAGCTGAGGGTGAATCTTCCTCACCAAAAAAAAAAAAAAAAAAAAGACCCACAAGACTTCCCAGGGTTAGCCAGAGAGTGGGCAGCAGCTACTCTCATCCACTGGTGGGAGTGGAAATTGGTTCAACATTTCTGGAGGACAATTTGGCAATATCTACTGAAATATTTTGAGTCAGCAATTTCACTTTTAAAATACACATTTGTTTAACTTTTTACTGAAGTAAGCAATTAGACTTTTAAGAATGTATTATTTAGAAACATTTATCCAAATATGCAAGAAACATAGAAGGATGCTCACTGCACCACATGGGCTGTGCAGCATTATTTCCAATATCAAATTGGAACCAAGGTGAATGCCCATCAACAGGGGCTGTGTAGATTATGATACAGTGATACAATGGACTCCTTGGTGATTGTCAAAATGAATAAAGCAGAGCTGGATGCTCTGACATGAAAAAATTTCAGGAGTATACCGGTTAGTGAGAGAAGAAGAAGTTTGCAGAACACTGCAAAACAGTGTTCATGAGTCCATTTGGGTAAACAGCATTGCATTAGGGTATGGAGAGAAAAATTACGTGGAGGAATTTTCACCAATCTTAACAGTAGGAAGAGCAATTATGGGGACTGTCACTATCTACATTGTGTGTGTGAATGTTTGAATTTTTCACGGTAAGAACGCATTTCATTTGAGTGAAAGAGAATTAAAAAAATAGTTTAAAAATTAAATGAAAAGGAACAACAGATGTTCTTTGATTATCAGAATGTTGCCTCCTTCAGGCCGGATCATTGTGAAAGTCACTGACAGTTCAGAGAAATGAAACATGACCTGAGACAGATGCGAGAAGCTGAGGGGCCAGGACTGCTTCAGGACTTTACCAGAGGGACTTATGGGTAAGATGCTCACTCTCGAGCGCATCACCCAGTGAACCTGGATAAATAACATCATGATGCTGAAGCAAAAATAGGTGGTTAGAGGTATGGGTTTATCTGCCTTCTGTCCCAGCCTGGACTCTCTAGTCTGGCTTTTTAATTATTTTTAATTAAAATAATTTTTGCATAATATCCCCCATGATACACCTAACTCTAGGTAGCCTCCCCTACCCCTAC